GAAGAGATGGATCATGTCGATGTCGTGAAGTACCTTTTGATCTTTTATATAGTGGTTCTATATGGTCATTTTTGTGTCTGGACTGACGTTCGTGGTCTTCGTGATGTTGGTGTTCATCATATTTGGGTGTTCGTTCCTCACGTCTTCTGTCCGTCCTGTGCCTACGACCGTCTTGCCGAGATTCACTGTGTCGTTCTTCGTCCTCGCTCGAATTCCCATACAATCGTTTTCGAGATTCTCTTTTAGACGTGCTTTTCAATCTTCCCTCCTCGTCCTCGTCGCTTTCCTCATGTCTCCGTCTCTTCCTCTCCACAGCCCTTTCACTACGCCCACTTGCTTCCTTACGCCCACCCTCATCCCTGTCCTCTCCCTTTTGCTCTCTCTTCCCCCTGTCATCCCTTTCCACTATCCCCTCTTCGTATACTCCTGTCGCTCTCTGGTCTCGAGCTGGATGACCCATTCCTCGCTCTCTCCTCTCGCATTGATCTCTCTTCACCTTGCATGACTCGCCGTGATCCCCGGGAGTCTTCCCAACTCCCCCCATCCTTATGTACCCTATGATAGCTCTCCCTTTCGTCCCGTAGATATTCCTTCTCCCTGACTCTCCTTTCAGACCCAATCCTAGAAGCCGCAGCGCTTCTCAACGCACCACCAAATAACCTTCCATGTCCGTTCCCCCCACTTCTCTCCCGTCTCACCTCCTTGGCGGCTTGTTCTTGCGCTCGAAGTAAAGAAGCGTTATGTCCATCGACGGTCCGTATCACACTTGCCAAAAACCTTTTGTTAGGTTTTGGAGCATTTGGATCGGGGCTGGGATCAGGTTAGAAACTCAACTCATTTCACCTTCACTCCACCCTGACCATCCTTCAATCATCTTCTCCTCCACACTCTTTTCTTCACTGAACATGGTTCAGTAACACCAGAGGTTCTCATGAAGGTATGTTATACAGGTGTCCAAGGTGAAAAGTCGAGAGCAGACTTACGAACTCTCTCCTAAATACGCCTTCAAACCTAAAGAAGTCCACTGTTCTTCTTTCCCCTTTGCTTCATCTGCCAATAGTTGAGCTACATGTTTATCGAGTTCTTCATCGGTTATATCAACTGGGACAGATGCAGCTGCGCGTACTAAAGAGTTTACCACAGAGTTGAGGGACATAGTAACATGCTTGAACTTGCACCACTGCATCTTCCCAATTCTCCTTCCCTATGGCAAACCTTAAAGGGGGGGATGAATTAAGTTTCACCTCGATCACGTCTCACGTCGTCGTTGACTTTGTGTCATCATAAAACTGGATGATATTTTGCAACTCTGAACTCAAAATATCGACTAAATATAGAGAAGTAGAATAGGATAATCAATATGCCGTCAGATAGGAAATGGTTCAGTCAGTCTTTTCTTTCTATTCAAAGTCAAAATCAAGCTGACGCTGATGCACATCATGCTCTCATCTCGATCCACTTCACAACGATCTTGACGACCTATGATATTTCGTATGAAACGATGATATACTTCATCTGATAGATCTTGAGGCTCAGACAGATGATGCGATCTTTGGCGGGGTGAGTCTTTCACATCTACTTCGTGCACTGTCTCTGTTCCCTCCCTCTAGTTGAGATCTATGTTACAGCGGACGAGTTACTTGATGACCACAAGGGGTTTCGGAGGGAGGGGTCAACGATTTCAGGTGGTCAAGTGGTATATTGACTGATGTATAGCAAGAACCCGCTTTTAAATTTCTGGGTTTGACGAGGTATCAAAGACTTGGGGGGTTTGTATTTTGTCAGTGTCTCCTTTTCCTTCTCTTGTTTTCTCCTCTCGACTGAATCACTGTCTCAAACTACTTAAGATGTCACCGTCTCCCACGTTCACAGCGAAACCATCCATCCCTGGGTTTAGCATCACATTTATTCTATCTCACAATGATCTTCTGATTGCTATTCTAGTTTCTTCGTGCTAATCCTTTCCAACCATCATGCCAAAGTTGGATCTGACATTTGTGATTATTTCAGCGCGTAAGGACTGGGGCGACTCTGGAGACAATTGGACGCATTCGTGGTGGGAAATTCATTTGGAGAACCATCGCTAACTTTCAGGCTTTTAGCCGGTTTGGCA